CATTTTTTTTTACTGTACTTTTATTTCTAGAGACATGTTTCCTATAAATGAAAATCCATTCCTATATTTACGACACTTACATAATTATGCATCAAATATTGTATGTGTCTCTGTTGTATACCAACAGACGTAGAGTGGTATCTATCCCATATTTTCCTTTAATTATGAAGAGAGCACTAAGCGTGAGTTCTATCCTCTTACCAAATATTTGTGAACAACATAATGTAATGTTAACAAGACGTACAGTGTTTTGCAACAAATGCCCAATATCTAATTATTGTGCATAACTGGAACTTTATGCGAGTTCAGTGTCAGCTCCTTATTTCCTCCTCCCCACAGCCCAGGAAACCACCACTCTCAGTTTCTATTTGATGCATTCCTTGTAAGTGGAATTATATGCAGCATTTGTCCTTCTGTGACTGCCTTATTTTCTTTAGAATAATGGCTTCAGAGTTCATTCATGTAGTCATGTATAACAGGATTTTCCTCATTTGAAAGGCCAAGTAGTGTTCCCTTATACATAAACACTGCATCTTTATACATTCATTCATTAGTCGATGTTTATCTTAGGGCCTCATCTTGACTGTTGCTAATGATGTTGCACTGAATATGAGAGTAGAGACAACTCTTTGAGGCTCTGATTTTCATATAGTCTTTGATATTAACCCGTAAGGGAAGAATCTTGTATCAGACTGTAAATTCACTCCTTCTTTCATCAGTAATATCTTGATATGGTAGAAAATATCACTGGATGCAAACAATGCCCTAATGATGTTCTTGAGTACGTCAATTATTACTGCAATGGAAGTAATTCATTTATTAAGTTGTTAGTGAGACTACAGACTTCACAGTAATGAAGTGGTCACACTGAACAATACAGATAAGTAGAAAGTCCCCTTTCAATGCTGAAAGCTGTGTTTCACTGATTGAGAATACATTTTTGAAAGCTACATCTGACCCCCAAATATATCACTGTTATTCCTGGGAAAATATCATAAGAAATCTATCACTTGGACTCGCTCTAGGCAGAATATCCCAGAAGAATAAGTAATATATATATTGTGTATGTACATGTGCTGCTATTTAAGAATATAAAGATTCTATTATGATTATAAATTAAGAATTTGGGCAACCCATTGTGGACCCCTCCTGTTTCTCAGGAGGTATACTTACTTCCCATTCCCCCATTCCTATTCTCCATTCTTTTTTCCAATAAATTTTCCTTCTCTTAAAGAAAATAGATAACAAGTAATCATATATTTTCATGTATACACATTGTGCTGAGGGAAGCCATGCCGGGCCTAGGGGGTGGTAACAAACAGCCAGTTTTCCCTTCCCATGAGCCAGCGCAAGCCACACAGGGGCTCTTCCTGTTGGTTGGGGGAAGCCATGCTGGATCTGGGAAAAGTAATAAGAAGTCAAGTCACCCTTCCCGTGAACTGACCAGCATGTGGGCTGGGAGACAAGAACATACACACACACACCTGAAAGCAACTGGCTGATTCAGAAGACAGGCTGACTTGATAACAACTGAGGTAACAAAACAACTTAATGCTTGTATTGTTTGATTGACTTTATAGACCTAGGGCTGATAGTATGGGCATCTATTGGAAGGATAACAATGTAAACTACAGGAAATAAGGCGGATTTGCTTCTGTTTTGTTTTTGAAATCCAATATTGTTCTCACTGTTTGCTTTGTTCCATTTTATTGTTTTGTTTTATTCAGCATTCTGCTTTGACTGGTTTTGCTCTGTCTTGTTTTGTTTAATTTGATTATGTCTGATGGTGTGGGCAGCAATTGTGAGAATAGCAAGAGGCATTAAGGCAGCCATTGTTGATTTCTTATTACCCTCTTTTGAAATCCTGTACCACTTTCACTGTTTTGTTTTCATTGGCTTTACTCCATTTTTAAAAAAATTTCATTCCTTTAAAATATACTTTCAGGGGTGGGGATTTAGCTCAGCGGCATAAGCGCCTGCCTCGCAAGCAGGCAGTCGTGAGTTCGATCCCCAGTACAGATAAAAAAGAAAAAGACAAATAAATAAATAAATAAAACATACTTTCATTCTTTTGTTTTGATAGGTTTTATTCTGATTTGTTTTGTTTGATTTTATTATGTCTGATATGGACAGCTATTTTGAGGAAAGCAGGAGATATTATGTAGCTTTTGTTGATTTCCTTTTGTCTTGCTTTGGAGTCCTGTATCACTTTCATTGTTCTGTTATGATTGGCTTTATTCTGTTTCATTTGGTTTGGTTTTATTCTCCTTAAAAAAGTTTTCAAAAATAAATTTGCTTTTGCTCAAGACAAAAAAATTGTGCTGAACACTAGGGCAATACATTATGTAAATTTTCTAATTTAACTTTGAAACTACCTTTGCCACTGATTTCCTCACTTTGCAGGTAGATGTTCTTGTAAAAATCAAAACAATATATGAACTTTAACTTCACAGTTGACTTCTGCCTGAGTCTTGTGCATTGTTTAGATATGCTGTTTTGAGCATTTTCTTTTGAATGAAATTCTAGTAATATCTTGATATTTTAGTTCACCATAGGCTTTCATTTTTCCACTTCATTAGTTGGCCTGTATTAAATTTTAATAATAAATAGAAATTAAGAATAATTAGTGGATTTCTTTTTTTTTTTTTTTTTTCTGTCTTTTTCGTTTTTATCGGTACCAGGGATCAAACTCACAACTGCCTGCTTGCAAGGCAGGTGCTTATGCCACTGAGCTAAATCCCCAGCCCCAATTAGTGGATTTCTTTAATTCAGAAATTCTCTAGACACTGGGACTCTATACAACAATGTATGTCTTCTAGCTGAACCCCTTTCTAAGAAATATGCAGGTTGGCAATCCTGCTAGAGAACAAATACATTTGGATGAGAAAAGAAAACTCAACACAGACTATGACATTCTCAACTCTTGGAACTTTCCACATGGTCTTAGACTTACTGTGAAAGTGGGAGAGTTTTCCCCATCTGTTCCATGTGGAAAACAATTGTCACTGAGGATAAGATAGAGAGGAACAGAGGAACTTCAGAGACACCCTGCTCATATGTAATAAGAGTTGCCATCCTGGATTTAGGAAATCCTCTCAAGAAGAAAATGCTGCCTGTTGTTTTGATTGCTGTCCTTACCCAGAGAATGAGATTTCTAGCCAGACGAACATGGAGTGGTGTGTGAAGTGTCCAGATCATCAGGATGTCAACACTCAGAGAAACTGCTGGCTTCAAAAATCCGTGACTTTTCTGGCTTATGAAGATCCCTTGGGGAAGCCTCTGGTTGGATCAGCCTTGAGTTTTACTGTTATTCTGAGGCGCTTGTGAAACACAGAAATGACTACTGTCAAGGCCAATAATCAAGCTCTCAGCTACATCCTGCTCATCTGTCCTGTTTTCTCTGCTCCTTACTCTTCATTGGCCGTCCCAACACAGTTACCTGCATCCTCTACAGACTACATTTGGAGTTGTGTTCACTCTGGCTGTTTCCACTGTGCTGGCCAAAACCTTTACTGTGGTCCTAGCCTTTAAGTTCACTGCTCCAAGCAGAAGGATGAGGCAGTTGCTAGTGTCAGGAGCTTTTAGTTCCATCTCCCCATTTGCTCCCTAATTCAACTCACTTTTGGTGGAATCTTTATGGGAACAAATTCACTCTTTACTGACCCAGATGCATACAATGAACGTGACTGTATCATGATTGTGTGCAGGAAAGGCTCACTCACTTCTTCCTGCTGTATCCTGGAATACCTGGGTGACTGGCTCTGGTGAGCTTCACTGCTGCTTTCCTGGTCAGAAACCTCACTGATACACTCAATGAAGCCAGGTTCCTGACCTTCAGCATGCCGGGGTTCTGCATTGTGTGGCTCACCTTCATCCCTATGTAGCACAGCACAAGGGGAAGGTCATGCTGGCCATGAAGGTCTTCTATATCTTGACCTCCAGTGCAGGGCTGCTGAGCTGCATCTTTGTCCCAAAGTGCTACATCATTTCATGAAGGCCAGAGAGAAATTCTCTATCTGGATTCAGAGACAAAACTCATTCTGTAAGAAACAAGCCCTCTTACAGTTAAACACATGTGTTTCCTAAAATGCACAGGGAACATGTATGCAAAATTGGATCACTGTTGCAGTCAGATATCATTTTAAGTATGGTATTTATATCAATCAAAATTGACTTTAACTTCTTTGTTTATAGTGCTATGGTCAGTGCAACACATAGTTATCAACTTTTCATCTTGGATTTTCTACTACTTATTTTTTGTATCCTCTTAATAGGTTGGCATTCATTCTAATATTTATAACTGCAATTATACTATATACTTTTGTCTTATTTCCTCCTTTTCTTAATTTGTAAAGTGACAATGAATTCCTTTCTCTATATCGCCATGTTTTTTATTCCTTTAATGTATTTTATTGTCCTTTTTTCTTTGGAGGAGTAGCATGTCTTCAATATGATGATTATATGTTACAATAGTTTGTTAAAAATAATAATAAAGAAGTAAAAATTAAATAAATAAGAATTCGACTTAAAGAGCAACTGAATTAAAAGCAGGTCTTCATTAACAGATTTTCCCAAGTAGTATTTACTAAAAGTAATATTTCTGGTGTGTGGAGCCCCAAAACATTTTTTATGTAACCACTGTCTTTAAGTTTGTTTATCATCATGGTCTCTGCATACAGTTGTGCAGGTTGTGCATTGCCCATGGCACTGACAGAGGGAGACAGTAGAGAGTGAACTACAGCCCTATGGGCTTACCCCATCATCAGCCCTGAGAGTGAACCTGCATCAAATCTAGGGTGACCACCTTCCCAGTTTGTCTAGAATTAAGTGGGACCCTTAAGGGTGTAGACAGGACAATCCTAGGCAAACATTCCTAGTCAGGGCATGGTTATGCCACAGTGCTGACTACAGCCTTGGCATCCTGCTTCAGAACTTTGGGGTGAAGCCCTGCACTGGTGACATTGTATCAACATCAGTTCTTCTCTCCTTATGTTTCCTAGGTGAAGGAGCCATGCAACCATGCCAGCATCCTGACCAAGCCTGATCCAAGAACCTTCTGGACTAATGATGACTCAGGTATGGAGAGAAACGGCTCTCTAGCCCTGGGATGCCCAGCACACGTTCTGCATTACCTGCTTGTCTACTTGTGCCCAGCCCAATGCTTTACTGTCAATTTCATCATCATGCAAGTCTTTTAATCTAATCACCTTTTTCAGTGTCTGAAGTGTACAGACCATCAGGTACAGCTTTATGGTCGGTGAAGTATGTTCAAATACAGGTGGAATAGAGTAATGAGTTTATTTTCTGGAATGGAGGAGAATAAAATGGGAAATTAAAATGGGAGAATAAAATGGGAAACAGTGTCTTAAATTTCTCCTCAAGGATGAAGTAGGGATTTACAAATCTAACATGAATCACACTTCAGAAAACTTACGGGCAAGTGTAACTCATACTGAGAGATTCAGAGATAGCAAGCTGATTAAAATCAGAGGAATGCCATTTATGAGATCAGAGAATATTTTTCAGGTTATAAAATTAAAATTAGACAAAAGGTAGCTTATGTGGTTATAGGAAAGAGGGCAACCTTTTATTCATTTTCACAGTCCTGTGCATTTTGAGGCTAATTGCACAAAGCCAACACTAGAAATCAAAAGGGGGCATGAACCAAAAGGAGTTAAAATAATTAAGAGGGGTGATAATAGAGCTTTTCTTTTTTGCCTTTTCTAATTAAATAGAGTCTAATGAAGTGGAAAACTAGTGCTGAACCTTAATATTTATATTATGCCTTACATTTTTATAAAATGTGCTTACAAAATCTAATTTAGTATTTGCAGCAACCCTGTAAAACAGGAGGGGTAGTCTATTCTCAGTGTCCTTAGAAATAGGATAACAAATGCAAAAGAATGTCTGACATATCCAAAGCTCATTGCCAGAAACTTCCAGGACTGGGAACAAGGCAGAGAGCTGTGTGCCCCATTCCGCGTTCACTTCCTAGGTGGAGCAACTTCCCTGTGAGAAGCAGCCTGGGCAACATCTGTGCTTTAATCTTTTCTTCATAAAGGGGAGTCAGAGTCCAAGCCTATTAGTGAAAACAGGAGAGCCTGAGGAGATGAATAAAAGCTCTCTGATAGCTTTTTTATCTAATGACCAGGTTTATGGTCTAAATTTATTATCAATTTTATTTCTCAGATTTTATTTTGCTTTGTTTTATGTATGTCTTTTGAAAAAAGACAAAGAAACATTAAAGTGAGTTTGCCTATCGATGCCATCACTGCAATCCATTAGCTGTGCTACAACAACAAACAATACACTGGCTAATGCCACTATTAAGATCTACAGCACATGTGTTTTGAAGAAGCAAAGTGGAATGACGCATTCTTATTAAAGAGGAAATGCTTCCTGATGTTGATAAAGAGAATGAAATGAGAGGAAAACTAGCAAAGGAGAAATCCAAGAAATATCATGCCCATGCATTTTAGAGCTATAGAAATCAAGTTGCAAGAAAAACTAATACAGAGCACGTAGAAAAATAAGACTAGAAATACTTCTGGTCTACATACTTTTAAAACTTTTTAGATGATTTTTGGATCATCCATGTAGTTAGAGAGATGCAATGTACCTTCTGTAGCAGCTCATCAAATGAGAATCTTCTGGATTACTAACATATGCAAGGAGCCATGCCTAGAGGGAATTTATCTTTTTGTCTATTTGTTCAACCAATGACCAAGCCAGAGTATTAAAATCTCCACATATATTGATGAAATTGTGCTATGCTTCTTTGATTCAGTCAAAAGTTTTGTTTCATATGTTTTGATGCTTTGTTATTAGGCACATATATCTTTATGATTATTATGATTCCTTGATAAATGATCATTTTATTATTAGAAAATAGTCTTCTTTATCTCTGTTAAAACTCTTTGTTTAAAGTATGTGTTTTCTGGTATTAGTATAACTGGTTCAAACTTACGTCTTCTCTTCAGTGGTATATCTTTCCTATCCATTTATTTTCAAACTATCTGTATCTTAAAGTACTTTTCTTATAGGTAGGTTTTCTCTTTAAATCCATCTGAAAATCCCTAGTTTTTGCACACATAATGTTTAGGCCACTTATGCTTAATGCAATTGTTACTCTCTCCTTGGTTAGACAAGGTCTCACTTCATAGTCCAGGCTAGCTTAGAACTTTTTCCTTTCTAAATATTCCTTCTCTTTTTTGACTATTTTTCTTTTTGACTTCTAAGGTTACTTGAATGCTTTTTTAGATTTTAATATTAATTTATCTAATGACTATCTAGCTATATAATACTGCATTAGATTTCTAGTAAAGATTACAGTAAATAACTTTAAATTTTCACAAGTGATTGCCAAAAACTTGAAATAAAATTTGACCATTTATACCTAAACTTGAAATAAAATTTGACCATTTATACCTCCCCCACCTTAATCCTTCATATTATGCTTGTCATGTTTATTACTTCTACATGTGAAAAAACCCTATGTATAATGTATTCAAAGTTAAAAAAAAAAACACCTTTTTTTTTTGTTTTTTGTTTTTTTGAGACAGAGTTTCACTATGTAGTTCAGGCTGGCCTTGAACTTACTCTGTAGCCAGGCCGGCCTCCAACTCACAGCAATCCTCCTGCTTCAGTCTCTCAAGTGCTGGGATTACAGATGTGTGCCACCATGCCCAACAGAAAACCACCTTTTGTATGTATCATTTCTGACGGTCTTCATTTGTTCTTAAAGATACAAGCTGGGTAGGGTGGTGTATTCCTGTAACTCCAGCACTCAGGAGACTAAAGCAGAAGGATCACCATGAGTTTGAGGCTAGACTGAGCTACATAGCAAGTTCAATGCTAGCCTGAACTACATAGACCCTGTCTCAAAAAGAAAAAGGAATTACAAATTTCTCTCTGGTATCATTTCTCTTTAATCTAAAAAGTTTTCTTTAGCATTTCTTATAAAGCAAGTTTCTGGCAATGGAATATTTTATAGTTCCTTTATCATCAGGATGAAAACATCTTCATTTCATTCTTAAAATATGTTTGGATGATCTTTTTTAATTTTCTATTACTTTAAGGATGTTAGTCCATGTTCCCTGGTCTTTAGAGTTTCTGATGAAAAGTCATCTTAGGTTTAGAAAACTAAATCTTCTTCTATTTTACCGGTAGTTTTCTTAAATTTGGCACCTGAAGGAGGCAGCTTTAATGCTGTGGTTTTTACACTGAAATACGCCCTTTCTTCTGCATGTCAGCACACTAACTCTGACTTCTAACTGCCCTTCTAACTGAGTCTAGACGACAGCCACAGCAACTCCACACTACCCTGTACTACATGCAAATTATGAGCTCATTAAGAAATTCTTTATGAGGTCAGTGTTCTAATCATGGCCAACAAAGTGCATTTTATTACTGTAACTTCTCCAAATTCCTGAAATAATTTTGATACAATGATTCTGTCATTTCCCGTGGAAAATATTTCAAGTGATTAGAATATTTCCATTAAAAGCCAGTCATCATTGGAGTATTTTATTTATTTAATCTATAGTAGAGCCGCTTTATACTCAGTTTTGTGATTTGATTTGATTTTACTTTATTTTTTCAGGCAGGGTCTTGCCAACTAGCCCAGCCTGGCCTTTGGCTCACTATGTAGTCCAGGCTGGCCTTAAATTTGGGGTGATGCTCTTGCCTCAGTTTCCCGAGTGCTGGGGTTACAGGCATATATCTCCACACTCAGTTTAGACACAGTTTTAAAAAAAACTAGTCTACACTATGTGATAGAAACAGAGCTAACAAAAAATATTATTCTTTTAGAACAAAAGAATTATGAAGATTAGCTGGTAGGATTGCTTAACTTATCTTGCTCAATACCTTTTTATGTGAGCACTAGAGGACACCTCTGGGATGCTCAGTTGCCATGTGCAGGTATTGGTTGGTACATAATTAGGAAAAAGGTCATTTTTAAAGTAGTTTTCTTTTCACAGTTATAATCTAAAAGTGTCATATATTCATCACAAGCAAAAAAAAAAAAAAAAGGAAAGAAAGAAAAGAAAATGAGAAAGAGAAAGAGAATGAAAGAGCAAGATACAAAGAAAGGGGAAATCCAGAAAGGAAGAAAAACTAATGGCTCATAATCTCACCACCCACACGTGTTCACTGGCTGCAGTCTCTCATGCAGTCCCAGCATTTGTTCAGGTAATAAGCAAACAGGCTGCACAAGTTTAGGTTCTTTCCTGTCAGTTTTGTTTCTTAGGCTTTGAAACCCGAGTGGTTTGTTTTGGTACACCTTTATTTTTCATTTGTCTCACCTACAGTGGCTGGTAGTAATCTTTAAATTAGCATTTCAAGATAGGATGAGTTTTTTCTCACACTTTCCAAATGTGTCTTCAAAATGTGCTTTGTCCAGTACTGTCCCTGGGAGTAAACATGATGTACTTTGCTTGGAGAAAGTAAGGCAATGCAAGGGTTAAACAATAAGATTTCTTTAAAGGGCCACCATTTTAGCTGGACACTTGTTTCTCTAGGCAGGAAACCATAGCTCCTTGATGTTCCTCCTAGACTTTTCCTTTTTATAGGACAATTTATAGGACAAAAAGTTTCCTTTTTATAGGCCACTTCTAAAACTGCATTTCTTTCAAGCAAAATCTTAACAGCCAAAATCACAGTTGCACCCCTGGAAGACTGAGGCAGGAGGTTTGTAAATTTAAAGCAATCCTGGGCAATTTTACAAGATCTTTCCTTAAAATACCAAATACAAAGCAAGGACTGGGGATGTAGCTCCATAGAAAGCACTTGCCTAACATGAATGAAACCCTCAATAATCCTCCATTTCTTTTTTTTTTTTTTTTTTTTTTTTTTTTTTTTGTCTTTTTCATTTTTACCGGTACCAGGGATTGAACTCATGACCGCCTGCTTGCAAGGCAGGTGCTTATGCCACTGAGCTAAATCCCCAGCCCCCAATAATCCTCCATTTCTAAAATAAAAAATAAAAAATTTTGCAATTTTTATCCAGAGAGAAATTTTAACTCCCTTGTATTTCCAGAATTATGCCTTTTTCTTCATAATTTCTAATAATTTGT